CAATTGCTTGTTCTTCTCTTACTTTCTTGATGTCTCTTACCCTACTTCTCAGATCACGCCGATTTCCAATTTGGTGTTTAATTGTTGGACTTGGAAGAGGTAACGCAAAAGCTTTTGCCGAAACGATTTTCTGTCAATTGTTGCAACGCTAGTTTCGTGAATGATAGAGTTTTATTAATGTCAAGGAAATTAGCTTACGCAATCTTTCCGTCCGAAATCAGTACATCTGCTGCGAACATTGAATCATCGTTCACGACAATACCGTTCTTGATGAGTATGGACATCCTAAACGATTATCATTATTAGATGATTGCAACTAGACTCGAGAAATTACTATAGGATGAATAGTTAGCTAAACATCGCTAGAAACGAAGTAAATAATAGAAGCATATAACGAAATAACCAAAGCTAATCATATGCAAGTGATCTTGTGAGATATCTTCTGGCTATCATTAATCAACGCCTACTGGGCAATCTTGTCAGTAACTCATGCATGATTGCTGCAGGTAAAAAACTTGGAATTGGGAAATCAATGAGAGCAAAAAGTTACTAGGAGTACTATTTTGATAGTAATTTGTGTCTTGGGTTAAAAAGTATATTATTACAACGGCTAGAACAAGTAATTAATAGAAATCTCCGCTTTCTCAGCTTTTACTCATCAAAAAACGTGTTTCCACCGAAAACCTGTCCTTTTTCAAAATTACGATAAAACATTTTAAAAAACCGATTTTGACTACCGTTTAGTCTCTAAAAAGTTTGTGTGGTTAGTCCTATGTAACATATCGGGCTAGTTCTATCACATCCAATTCGTACTAGAAAATCTACTGCAAGAAGAGGAAATGTAGTACAATCTTTGAAACATTGCATATCCTTGCAGGAATGCTCTACAATAATTTAGCGTTTGTATGGCGCGTAACCCTATTATGAGCTTATGAAAGTTGTAGTTGTTGCTTTTGATTAATCGTTCAGTATGAGTATTCCAGGCTAATTAATACTGTAAGCTCGCAGTATCACAGTGCAGTATATGTCCATAGGAGAAACCTTTTGAAAGGTGAAAGCGGAAACTTTGAGCAACTGGTTGAACTATAAGCAAATAGTTCAGAAAGTTATTAAGGACTCTACAAAAAATTATTGAAACTAACTTTAATATTCGCAAACTATTTCTTCTAACAAGCCCTTCGGTCAATGATCTGCGTAGAACTTAGGCGAAATTAGCTGTGACCAATTGTTGGTTGTAATGCACCAAAAGTGAGAAACCCCAAAATGTAATTTTGCGCAACTCGTGTAAAGTTGGGAAGTTTTGCAGCATTGCAGAAATAAAATGAGAATTTTGCATGATAACAGGAGTTTGGCTCTGTTCCAAGTTTGTCTGAGAATCTCGAAGTGTTCGTTATCAACTACTATTTTCTATATTCTATTGCCTTTGACGAGGTAGAGTTGGCCGTAGATTGTGATGTCTGTCATGTCATGGTTATAATACAGGAATACCTCATCGATTTCTATCCAGGCTTACTGGACAAAGAGCGATGAGGTATTGAAGCACGTTTATTTTATTAATAGGATACTGCTCATGATACATCCTGTCACTTGGCTATCGGTAGCACACGAAACGGGCTAATGTGACTTCTTGTTTGCGAAATAATGTGAGTTTCGGGCTCATTTGAGGTTGCTTACCTCTACATCATAAGTGGTGGAGTCTAGCGAGCGTTAACCTTCTTATGTTCTTGCAGCTAAACGCTTTTATTTTGCTTAGACTTTTTATCTTGCGCAAAGATCCTGTATATACAATTTGATGCTTCAGGCG